TTGTATGCACATGGAGTTGAACTATAGGGCTCATTCACACTATATGCAGGTGCCTGCATTAATCTGCACCTAATCATCGCAGATCATTTTTTTTTTTATTTTCCCATTTCACTCCACAATGTAGTTTGATAAAAAAATTGGAAAATGGAAAAATTCAGATGTGCTTCATTTTTTGCAGAACTGGCTACACTGCATGTCACCACAGTGCAATATGCTGCTGTGTGGAGACTTGGATGAAATAAATCTTCAATAAAAGTAAAAAAAAAAAAAAAAAAAAAAAAAGCTAAAATGGGAGAACGGTGCCTTGTGTTGTAAAATGCAGGGCACCACTCGTTACTGTTTGCTACACAGGGCAACAGCGGCATGCTTGTGACTAGTGTATAGCTTTCATGATCATTAGTGTAGCTATTTTACTTTGTGTTTTCTATCTCTTTTGAGTCCAATGTTGTTGTTACTTTACTTCTTGCATTTCTGATTTAAATCTGTTTTGTCTAAATAGTATTTTTGTAGGGCACTGAGACAGCACTATTAAATTCTAGTGCATTGTGCCCGACAGTTATTTATGTGAATATATCACCACCTGTGCAATTCTCAAGTGTATTTGTTGTATTTATCACACACAAACTTTCAAAATCATTGTATTTCTACATAGGAAGCTCAATTGTGCAATCACATTGGTAAATCAAAATAAGCACTTTAACACAAGCAGCATTTCCTTTTTAAAGGAGAAGAATCTGACTTTTTTTTTTAATTATCTTTTTTTATCAGTGTCCTTTTTTGTATATCAAGTTCAGAATTCATTCACTTTTAGAAATGTTAAAGTGCAGTGATCATCTTCATTAGTGTGAGAAATGGATAGTTTTATCTCGTGTTTTTCATTGGAGACTGGAAGCTGCACTCTTTTCTCTTCTTTTAAGATCTTTTCAGTAGGTTGATTTATTAGTGCATTAATGTTAAAAATATGGTAAAGCAATCCTGAGCTGAGGGATAATATATAGACTATATAGTATTGCTTATGGGCTCATTATGAAAATGCAAGCTTCCTGGCTGCCATGCTGATCTAGTCGCTTTAGTTCTTTCTAAGTGACTGATCCGGTCAGGGAAAATCAAGCAGATATATATTTCTCATATTACCAGGTTCCTTTAAAAGACTCTGGACAAACCTCTAAATGGTTGAACAGTTGAAATGTATAATTTTACTGATTTTTGTGTGCTAAAGGATTTGTAATTCTGTAGAGCCAGTCTCGTGACACGTTTTTCACAATGCCAGTTAGATGAGTGGCATGCAAAATTCCTGATATGTTCATCTGTCAGCCTAGCAGTGCAGCTTCCTTTGTTACCTCTCCACTTCCAGAGCCCTCATTGGACAATAGTTCAGCATCATCGCATCTTTCTGATAAGTAGGTATGATGCTGAACCAGAAAGTAACAAACTAATCTCCTGGCTGACCAAAATTACAAAGCTGATGGGAAGTAAAACGGGTAACTTTTCTGTGTTTCAAACGTGAATTTATTGGTTTGCTTAGAGTTGAACTTCAATACAATTCCAACTCAAAGGGCCAATAGTTATGGTCTAGAACAGCAATGGGCAAACTACGGCCCGGCGGACCTTTTAATCTGGCCCGCGGAGCTAGGCTCCCGCTAGGCTCCTCTCACAGTCCGCCCTGAAGACCGGTGTAGCATGAAAATCTGTCTCCTATGAGGATCTGTCCCCCTCGACGTATCTGCGCATGTGCCGGAGATCGCCGATCGGCTGCTAATGCCTGAAACTGGCACATGCGCAGATACGTCGAGGGGGACAGATCCTCATAGGAGACAGATTTTCATGCTACACCGGAACGGCGCGGGAACACGGCGAGAGGAACGCGCGGAGCAAAGGTAAGTGAATTGACACAGGGGGGTCTTGGGGACTTAATATGGGGAATGAATTACTATAGGGGGGATGAATTACTATAGGGGGGATGAATTACTATAGGGGGGCTGAATTACTATAGGGGGGATGAATTACTATATGGGGGATGAATTACTATATGGGGGATGAATTACTATATGGGGGATGAATTACTATATGGGGGATGAATTACTATATGGTGGATGAATTACTATGGGGGATGAATTACTATATGGGGGATGAATTACTATATGGGGGATTAATTACTATGCTTACTATGGGGGAATATTACTATACTTACTATGGATGACACATACACATCATTCATCTACTCTTGGTCCGGCCCCTGGGTCCAATATATGAACCCATTGCGGCCCTCAAGTCAAAAAGTTTGCCCACCCCTGATCTAGAACAATGCGGCAGACAATCCTCAACATGACCCTGGTAGAAACAAATTATAGGGTATTATCCTGATGGTACCTGGCCCCCTCCAGGAAAGCCAAGATATACCCTGAGACATCCCCCATATATGTTTCAGAGGCTGCGAACAGGAAGGAACTATGTGCCATGTTTGGTGGAATCGCTCCCAAAGTTAATGATTTTGGATCAGGGTCTTCATTCTGATTCATAAAGGTAACAAATGTAAAGGTCCCCAAATCTTCATAAATTGCACTTTTGAATGAGCCTTCAGAGTGCTCCCCAAGACATATACCGTCCCTCATATTTTACCTTTTTCTTGCTATGAGGGCTCTTGAGCTGCTACTTTGTCTGTCCCTTCACACACAGACACGGCTAGCCTGATGCATGGAATGCATGAAGGTAAAAAAAACCTTGAGCCTTTACAACCACTTTAAAGACAAACAACCATAGATGATGCGATTTTTGTAGGAAAGAAAATTGCTCGATTCACCCATCAACACAGTCAGTGTTGATGGTGGAATCCCTCCCACAGACCTATTGTCTTCTCCTGTTTGGCTGTAGCTGCACACTGTCCCTGCCAGAAGAACAGTGATTATTAGCAGCTATAGCTGCTGGCAGTAATCAATTGCTGAACATCCGACACGCTGGTTGTACCCAAGTCAGTCGATGGATTGACTTGGATACAATCAGCCAACCCATACATGGATCAAATCGTGGCCAAGATTTGAACCATCTATGGCTGGCATATGTCTGAAAAGACCTGGCTGTGCTATCTGCAACCATCTGAATGAATTGGGTAGAGCGGGCTAGATCCTGAACTTAGGAGGGACAACTCCCAATCTTTACTTTCCCCTCTTTCCTTTACTCTTCTTTGCTGCTCTCTCTATTTCTCTCTTTCGCTCAATTATGGTCTAGAATTGCTTGGATCTATTCTAAACCCCCAAAACCATTGAAAATGGAAATGTTTCCAAGGTAAATGTGGGTTTGGTCATATTATGGATGTGCAACTCCAAAACTCTGTTTTATAAGATTGATGTATGCTTTGTTCTATGATTGGAAGCATATCAAGCTGACTCTTTTTGTAAAAACCTTTCTCCATGGTAAAAACAAGAAAATTGGAACAGAAAGTATGAGCAGGCATGGTTGTGTCAATGATTCATGTAGGCAACTCGCCAAGTCTAGTGAGAATAGGTTTTCTAGAAAATAGAACTAATGCCAAAACATTTTTCATTTTGGTGTAATGGAGGATTATGACCCCTGTCAGTTTGTTTTTTTTTTTTGTTTTGTCATCTGTGTCCCATTGAGGAAATTTACCTTCACTTTCGTTCCATACCCAATATATGAAGTGAGAGGAAATCCCTCCAAAATGAGGGAATCCCTGGTTGTCACTAGGCCAGGTGTCCCCATTGGAAGATTTCACCTCTGTCCCTGTTCTGGTAACAACTTAAAACTTGGGATTTGCGTTTTATTTGATCTGATTTTATTTTGTCAACTGACGTTATCTACGTTTTATAAAGCATGGATAATGATATTTTTACCAACCTTGAGAATATAGAGCGCATAAAACAAAATGCTTTTATATTGGTAGTAAATAAATGTAGACTGTGCAAAAGCCAAACACTCCAGACTACTAGCCAGCAGGAAACCAGGAGCTGTTCTAGTTGAAAATGTTCTGTTTCTCTGTTTGCTTGAACTGCTGTGTAAATAAAGGAAATGTTTGTTCATAGTTGGTGCCTATAAGACATAAATTATTTTCTTATTTAAATAATATTTTGCCTACAAATCTTTATCAGCATTTTTTCTTGTCTTTTGGAACCACTTTTTCCCTAAGTGAATAAGGTTGCTCTAATGTCCAAATTAGAACCAATTATGGCTTTCGTAAAAATGTAATTTAGACACAGCTTGTCCCTCCATCTTTTAGCAGTTTCCTGCTTTAGCATGGAACAGAACACTCTGCTAAACTAGGGACTGAGTGTCCTGAGATGATCTAATCTGAGTAGCCGTATTTTGTGTAAAAACCAAAAGTTTAATCTTCTTATCTTTTAACTTCTCTGGTCCCCTCATAAACATGCTAATTACTTTTCAAATTACACATTTCTGTTTTCATTGCATACCTTATTTTTTTAATTAGTGCTGTCACTGGGTCTCTGTGCTTCTCTTTGCAATGCAGGCAGATCATGTCTGGTTGGAGGGGCAGGCAGGGTGCTGTACATAGCTTTCTGAGCAAATTACAGTACCCAGTACTGCTGTCACAAGCCCACAGCCCTGATGCACGCAGTGGGTTGGCTCTTGGAAGGAGTTTTGCAATTTATAAAATGCCTTGGATGAGTGTATGTCAGTCTGGAGGAGTGGGCATTCTAGACAGGCTTCAGACCACCCTAGGTAGAACCTATGTGTGATGCAAAGTTTCCATGAATAAAATAACTGAAATCCAGTGAATCCAGCATCATTTATGAACGTTCTTTGACTACATTCAATGCCAGTTCTGTGGTGTTAATGAAGGACAGACCTCTTTACCAACAAAAGTTTGTAAATTCATCTGTAAAGTACAAATCGACTGAAGAGGTTGTAAGAAGAGTTTTTTGGGTTTATTTAATTTATTTTTTTGCCATTTTAAATTTAGCACTATTTGTCAATGTATACTTTTGTGTACCCATGTTTAGTTGTTCATTATGCTTTTTGCATTTTAGGTATGTGGGTAACCTGTCTCGAGATGTCACAGAAGCACTGATACTTCAGGTGTTCAGCCAGATTGGTCCATGCAAAAGCTGCAAAATGATAATGGATGTAAGTTTTTAGTTGTCTTTATACCTGATGGCAGACCTGGATAAATCTTCACAAAATCTGAGGCAGTTTCTAAACGTTAGGAGGCAACAACAGTGTGACCTATGTAGTTCTCATCCTCTAATACCCTCAATTTCCATGTATAAAGCTCACCTTTTCATTTTTTTCAGTTTTTCAGTTAACAGTGTGGAAATTTAAAAAAAAACTACTTGTCCAGGGACTAAATTGGTGCCCCAAATCAACTTGTCCCTCATGATAATCTATATGTCAAGATAAAAAAAAAATACATTTGAACCAAAACCATATTTAAATCTGAGGTGCTTTTTAGTAATGTCTGGAGCTTTTAAAATCAAAAGGGGCTTTATGGCGACTTAAACGTGTAATAATTTTAACATTGCCCTGTTTATCTCCTCCTCCCCTCCTTGCCTGCCTCCAGCACCGAACCCGGGACTAGCAGGGAGGGGAGAGACTTTACAGTGTAATGAGTACCGATTGGGTGCTTGTCACTAAAGGGGAGTGTCCGGCTCATCCTTTATCCCTTTCGCTGCCAGAGCCGTTTTTGCGCTTTTTGCACAAGTTTAAAAAATCATTTTAGGCCTGAAGATTTCACAACCCCCCCCCCCCCAAACATGAACTATTTTCTAAAGCGGACACCCTAGAGAATAAAATACTGGTAGTTCCAATTTTTTATGTCTTATATTACCCCAAAATTTCAGTAAAAAATACAAGTTAATTTTAGGGCTCAAAAAAAGCAATACTTTACCCTATTTTTTGTAAAATATAATATACGAGGTTGCACCGAGTAAATGGATATTCAACACGTTAAACCTTAAATTTGCGTGCACCTGTGAAATGGCGACGAACTTCAGTACCCCATACTTTCTATAGGTCATCAGTATAGTGTACGGAGGAGGTCTCATGCTAGAATTGTTGCTCTCATTCTGGCATGCACGGCGATATGTAACGTGTACCGCAATCAACGTTTTCATGCGTAGGCGCCCCAGCATGTGCTTTTACGTTTGTACGTGCATATATGTGGGGAGGGAGGGGATGTTATGTGCTTGGGTGTAACTTTGATATTTTACAATTTAAAAAAAAAAAAATTTTTTTTACTTAATTTTTTTTTCATCCCCAATGTGTTGATTTTTGGTGACAGGTTCTCTTTATTGACACATCCAGGGTCTGAAACACCCTGGATGCCTCCCCTGAATGTAATGCGGTGCACATCACGCTGTATTACATTCTTTCCTCGCCTCGATGTCCGGGAAATCTTTGAACGGGGACAAAAAGGGGAAGGGAGCAGATTTGTCCGTCTCCTACCTCCCCTCTAGCCAACGGTGGTGAGCTGGTCCCGGGACCGCAGATGGGCAAGCGGAGCCCAGGAGACAGTGGGCGGTTCATGCTGTGAGGAGCGGAAGCTCGCACTGTGTGGACGCAATCAGCAGCAGCGCTGCTGCCCTAATACTTCCACCTGACAGGTGAGCCCTGCTGCTTGCCTGCAGCAGGGCTGAAGGATATAAAAAACTACCTGCTCGGCGCCTGGAACTACATGTCTCGGGCATCGTGCGATATAAATTCAACATCCCTGCAGTTACATACCATCCAACCATTTTAAACTTGGATTTATCTCATAAATCATTGAAGGGAAATTCCATAAACCAATTTTCTAATCCAGTTACAGCATACTAAAATGGTGGACAAGAGTCGATATCACATTTACAAAGGCCATTCATACCTTGTTTTTAAAACTTGGATTTGTAGTGTTTGCAAAGTGGAGATGGATAGTAGTAGTTAAATGAATAATTCTTTAGCCAATAGGGTTATTTTCATTGGTTTGTTAGGATGTTTTATCTTCTGTGTAACATTTCTTTTGTGTGTCCTTTTTTCAACATATACCTCTAATAGGATTTTTTTTTTTTTTTGAGCAGACAGCTGGAAATGATCCTTACTGCTTTGTGGAGTTTTATGAACATCGCCATGCCGCTGCATCTTTAGCTGCTATGAATGGGCGAAAGATAATGGGCAAGGTATGTCGTCTTCAAATGATAAGTGGCATTTCATTCACATTTTGTCACAGAAAAATATCACTGTATTAGACAAGTTTCGTGAGAGCTGGTTAAAATGAAGCTCCACTTGTGTAGAGAAAAACACAGTACTCTCCATAATTCGTGATTTTAGTAAGCTTAAAGTGTAACTAAAGGCAACATTTTTATTTATTTTATTTTTTTTTTGGATAGAGTGGAGAGGGATTAGAATCCCTGTCAGATTTTTATTGCTGTGTCTGGCCCCATTGGGGATATTTACCCTCAGTATTTGCTCTGTTTACTAGAATATCTCAAATTTTGGGCTGTCCCCAGAAAAGTAATAGAGGGGAAATCTTCCAATGGGGACACTAGTTTTGGTGACCTTTGGGGCCACAAGGAATTCCCTTAATTTGCAGACATTTCCTCTAGCTATAGGACAGGAAGTAAAGGGAAATCTGCCCAATGTGACACAGATAGCAGAAAAAAAACAGGGGTTATAACCTTCCCTTGCTCTATCCAAAATGGGGGCAAATAATTGTTTTGCTTTATAGTTCTACTTTAACCACTTGCTACCGGGCAATTTTACCCCATTCCTGCGCAGGCCACTTTTCAGCTTTCAGCACTGTCACACTTGGAATGACAACTGCGCAATCATGCACCACTGTACCCAAAGAAAATTTTTATCTTTTTTTTGAGACAGAGCTTTTTCTTTATGTTATTTAATCTCAACTGAGGTTTTTATGTTTTTGCTAACTAAAAAGTACTAAAAATTAAAAAAAAAGTTATCTTAGTTTCTGTTATAAAATTTTGTAATATTTCTCCACTGATGTGCGCTAATGAGACAATGGTGGGCACTGACAGGCAGCACTCATATATGGCACTGTTGGGCTGTACTGACTGGCAGCTCTGATGGGCACTGGTATGTGGCATTGATGGACACTGGTATGTGGCATTGATGGACACTGGTATGTGGCATTGATGGACACTGACAAGTGGCGCTAATGGGGCTACACTGATAATCAGGGCACCACCGATCGCCGTGCTACCCCGGGGGCGTGCATGCGCAGCTCGAGTGGGAGGACATCCTATGATGTCCTCCCACAACTAGAGAACCACCGCCCTCCCGTCATTTCCTTATATGGCAGGCGGGAGGCGATTAAAGTATAACCAAAGGCAATTGTTATGGACAAAGGGATTAGAACAACTGACAGGTTTTTATTGTCTGTGCCACTGTTTTGGAGGTTCATGCTCTCTATTTGCCCTGTTTTACCATTATCACTGAGAACGAAAGTAAAAGAAAATTACACATTTTGGTTTGTCACCAGAACAGGAATAAAGGGAGATTCTTCCAGTGGGGACGTTAGTTCTGGTTGACAAACCGGGATTTCCCTCACTTTGGACAGCTTTACTCCCACTTCCTGTTTTGGCTGTGGGACAAAAGTGCGGGAAAATCTCCATGATGGGACACAGATGGCAACAAAAACTGAGTTATAATCATCTCTCACTGTATCAAAAAGTGCCTTTAGTCCTACAGTACTTTTAATAGCAGTTTCTCACATGTTCCTGTTCTGTTGGTGTAAATACCAGTCACTCCTTCCAAAATGGTATGGTTTGGTTGCTATAATCACATGAACAAACTCTGTTTTGTAATAGAATAAAGGCATTGAAAAACAGTAATCAAATCACATGAGGACAACATTTCATTTCTGAGGACAGACATAGTATTCAGAATACCCTCAGCTGCCATGGTTAAAAGGAAAAAAAAGCTTCTTTTTTGGCCATTTAAAAATATTCTGATGACTGTCCTCACTGACCCCCCCCCCCCCCATCCTCTATAACAACTAATCTTAAGAAATCGCAGACGACAATGCATCATTCTCTAATCAAAGCGTGACAATGTCCTTTTAGAACAGACTTTCTCAAGTAGGGTCCACATCACCTTGGGGTGCAGCCTGATTTCTTTAGGGGTTTCATGGCATCCTGGTTGAGAAAGTGGGTGGATCAAGCTCTCCCTGAGCTGGCTCCACCAGTCTCAGCCCTGTATGGCTAGACCAGCAGAGCTCTAAATTCTACAAATGCCCCAATTGGGAACGAGCAGCGTGGGGGAAATGGGGAAGCATCTTCCTGATTCCTTTCTCACTGCCTCCCCCCTACAGGCAGCATTGCAAACAAATCACTTACCTGGGAATGCGAGTGCAGCTACACTTTAACAAAAAGTGTGTACGTTATTTTAAATCCTGACCCCTAATCTTTTAGATCAGAACTACTTTTCCAAGATAGTGGGGGTGCTTTTTTTTTTTCTCCAGGGCTTGTGCATATTAATTGCTAGAGCTGCCGCTCCTCTGAAAAGCAATTCCTGCTACGACTGTTTTTCAGAGGCATCTGACAGGTGGCGATGAGGCGATATGTCACCTCCTCACTATTTCAACCCCCTGATTGCAACACCATTGTGTTGCAACCGCGTGCAATGCATGCATTTGCAGGGCAGTTGCAGTACAACAACCCCACCTGCGGACAATAGTACCTGCCAAATGCAGTAGGGTATAATTCCTGCAATGGCCACAGTATGTGCATAACGGGGCAGCACAGTGGGTAAATGGTTAGCAATTCCACCTGGCAGCACTAGGGTTGTTGGTTTCAATCCCAGCTTCAGCACTACCTATGAATGTGAGTTAGAGACCTTAGATTGTAAGCTCCTTGAGGGTTAGGGACTGATGTAAATGTACAATATATATGTAAAGTGCTGCGTAAATAGACGGCAACACTGACCACTGCCTTTGTAGCTGAAGAGGTAGCACTTGGTGGTAAAAACACTACTCAACCATGTGGTTTTACCATACCACAATCTAATGTGTAGGCGAACCTTTAGATTGTGGTACCTCAAGGCTGAAGAATTTAAAGGGTACCTTGACTGAAAAAAGGTTGAAAAACACTACTTTAGAATATCAGAACTGACAGATTGCATATGCACAGGGTGGCATCATATCCTAAAATAGCAAAGCTAGTAGTTTTTTTTACATTTGCAGTGGAGCAACACTGTACATGCGTAACCTGTCAACACTGAGGCTGTAAAGAGTGCTGCAAGATTGTCTATCCTGTATACATTGTAGGTGGGGCACTGTGAGGGTATTTTTGTCATTTTATTTCCACTTTAAATGACAAAGTGGCTTGTGTAGCAGTTCTTAAAGTATGATATATATAATGAATAAGTTTTCTTTTACGGCAAGCTTTTATTGGTATTGCTAGTAGGTCTAAACTTGTATACAATTATAGGCATGTCTAGGCACCAGTGCATAGTGGCATGTGCTTTGTTCAAGGTGCACCTAAACCTAGGGCATTTTCTTAAGCAAACAACTTCAGCATGGTAGTCAGTGTTTTGGACTGCATTATATTTAATCCCACTATTGGCCAATGAGACTGCCCTTAAGCGCGGCATTGTCAGGTCTAGTACTGAGGTGTTAAAGGGAATGACCCAAACTGTAGAAGATGGCATCTGCATTATTTAGCAAAAACAGGTCAAGGACACTTCAATGCAAGTACCTGCATTTTTTGATTACCTCTTTATCAGTAGATGGTTTCTTCTAATCAGCTGCTTCTCAGGGTTGCAGGACTTTGTAGAACTCATTTCAAGGTTTGTGTACCAATGTTTTTTTTTTTCTTTTGTATACAGGAAGTTAAGGTTAACTGGGCTACCACTCCTAGCAGCCAAAAGAAAGATGCGAACAGTAAGTTTTACCAAATATTGTACTAGTTTATCAATAGTTTGTAATGGATAACAGCATATTACATTAAAACCACTATAAATAATTTTAACAATATTTAGATTGGTGTTTCTCATCCTGTGATTATCATATATATTTCAAGCAGTGTCAATCTGCCTTTTAACTACTTCTTTTCTGCGTTGGTCAGTCTAAGTGTATATTAAACAAAACCCTTATTTCTTTAGATTGTGGGGTGAGATGTTAATACTTGATAAAGAAAAGTAAGATGGTTGAGAAACACACTGCCTTAGATAACTTGTATTATTATGTTTGTGCTAATATTTTAAGAACAAATCTAATCTTTGTCATCAGGTAGTTCCGTTGTCAACACACTGCGTTCTCAAGGTAATTGTGTCTTTTTATGGATAAAAATTAAATCTCTCGCTGGTGACCAGCGACAGTTAGGCTGTTCCTATCCACTCCTTTCTTCTGCTATCACCCTCTCTAGCTGCCTTTTTCTGTTACTTTGGCAGTCTTGAGATCATTGATTATAACCAGTGAACCTAGCCATTCCTTAAACCATAACTAACCTTCTGTATCCCATAATAACATTGGTGTCGCTGGAGATTCCACTTCTGTGGAGGTGGTTCTGCTAAAAAACGCAGTTGTGGAGCTACTTTCAGATGTTTAGATATCACATGACAAGTAGCATATCCGTGAAAGCTTTGTTGATTTATAGGTATATGGTTGCTCCTAGCATTAATTCCACAAGGAGCTAAAACCAATTTTTTTTTTTTTCACCAAATGCCTTCTTCAAGGAGATTAACTTAATGTTTGATGGCTTCAAGAAGTAAAAATCTATTTAAATTATATCTGATAACATGCAAATCTCTTGGGTACATTTTCATAAAGTTGCATTTTAATGGATGGCCGTTAACTTTCTGGAGTATGCTGCTTTGAAATAAACTGTAAAATGAAATACGTATTGTAATATACATTGGTTTTCCACTGTTCAAAAAAGTATATGCTTGGAAAATCATCCGTACTATGCAGCACCATGATCCATTGCTGATAATTGGGTGAAGTTTCAGTTCTGCTTCTCACCATTTTGGCTCCCTAGCAAGAACTGTCTACTTCAGTAATAAAAATCCAAGGTTTCTGCACGTGAGCCCCTCAGAATAAACCAGCAGTAAATCCAATATATATGAGATACCATTACCTATTTTTGTTGAGTGTTGGGAATCCCATAATAAATATCCTTGATTTCTGCAGGCAGACCTGTAAATGACAGCAAATATGCAAAAAAAAAAACAAATTTTTTTTTATGTCGTAAAGGAGGGTTGTAAGCCCTGTCAATTTTTTCCCACCAGTGTTCTATTGGGGAGAGTTTCCTTCACTTTTTGTCTCCCATAGCCATAACAGGAAATGAGTGGAACCCCTCCAAAGGAAGGGAATCCTTGGTTCTCACCAGAGCTATTGTCCACATAAAAAGATTTCCACATTTCCCTTTATTCCTGTTCAGGTAACAACCCAAAATATAATTTTTTTTTTTTTTTTATCCCCACTTTAGGTGAAAGTGGTCACCAGGTTAAATAGGGGTGAATCTAGCTAAAAGGGACAAACACAAATCAAAACCTGGACAGGGTTCCAATCCCTCTCCACTGTGATTCTCTGTGCATGTGCTCACTCCTTGTAGCTGTGGCATAGGGTAGGAAAACAGATGTTTTATCCTCCATTTTGTTGAAGATTGGTCACTACATATTACTTTGTAGAGGCTGGTTTTATCCACTGTATGCATAGTGGTGTATCTTAGTGAGGAAAAAAAAGTATAATACTGCTCATTTTATGTGAAACTTAGTATATTCCAGAAAGGGAAGGTCATTTTAATAATTTTTGGATGTATTCACATTGATCATCATGTCTTAATCCATATCAGTCTACGAGTGATGAAAAAGAAAAAAGGGCAGTGTTTTTCATAGTAACTGCTCACATTCTTGTTCTTTGTTTGCCATAGGCAATATTCATATTCTTTTACTTGTTCTTTAAAAGTTGACGCTTAGTATACTAAGGAAAGATCCTTGGAGATCCAGCAGCTTTTCTCCTTTAAGAAGGCATTTTATTGTATGCATAGCGTAGAATAGTTTGATCTACAAGTGTTTTTAAATCTTCCATAATTATGTTTTCTTTGTGGCATTATCTGCCATATAATGAGCATGGCTGTGCCACTCCCTATATTCTTTCTCCAAATATGAGTTGTGTCTCTACAAAAAAAAGTATATATATTTCACTTTTTGGAGGCATATTTTATTTCCATCATTTTTGTTTATTAGAAAATATATTTTATTTTTAAAAGGTTCAGTGGTTGAATTTAGCAACCAGTGATATATTTGGGCAATACATAGTATTGAGCAATGTGTCTAATCTGGGGGCTTTTATTTTAACATCTTGCTTCTAATTGCTGCTTTTTCTCTTACTAATAATGGAGCAATGTATTGTGTTGAGTAAACTGTAATTTGTCGCCTTTAAAAATATGAAAATGTTGTTTTCCCCTTTCACCCTGTTCCCATCTCCTTCTCCCAACAAGATCATTTCCATGTTTTTGTTGGTGATTTGAGCCCCGAGATAACAACTGATGACATTAAAGCTGCCTTTGGACCTTTTGGAAGAATATCGTAAGTACAAAGAAAAGTCGAAGCCAACTTTTTTTCCTGTGTAACTTCAATGTCCTTTTAGATTCTTGCTGCGTTCTCCAATCCTCATTCAAAATAATTTCACTATTGAATTTTTCTCTTTTTTTTTTATTACTGTTAACTGGTTTTTAATATTTAATTTCTCAAAATTTACAGCTGGCCACAGACCAAAAAGGGGGTTAACGCATTGACCTGAGAATTCAGTTAACAGGCCACGTATGCCCTTTTTTTTAATTCCTATTTTTTTTAAATATATATATATCATTTTTCCTATTTTCCGTTTTTATTATTTTTATTTCCATTTAAGTAATTGAAATTGTGTTTGCAATGACCAGGAACAAATTGCATGGTTTAACTTTTTCACAGCTGGCGTGGTCTGCAGTGCACCATTGTTGCAGGTCTCTTCTGCACTGAAAGAGTTAAAAAATGAATGAATAAAACACACAAGAAAGCCACTAATTTTAAAGGTGTACAACTATTCCAAGGTTAAATGACTCAATTTTCAGTCGCTTGCTTTAGCCCATGCTTGATGTGGAAGTAGCCATGTTGTGAGTGGGATCAGCTGTAGTTTGTGTTAATGTGTTTAAGTTGTTATCAATTAATTTGCATGTACACCTAATTACTTGCTATTGTCCTCCACCCCTTTTTAAATAGAAGTTAGTTTTTAGCTCTTGATGACTGATGTAAGGGGACTGCTTTAAACTTTTTAATTTGCTGACGCTTCCTACTTTGGCCTTTTAAAAGGGACAAAGGAGTGATATGGGGTCACAGTGTGGTCTGTTGTGGTTTGCTTCCCTCATTTATATTTGCTTTTAGGAATGCGATTCTATAGGTAAATGTGTCTGTTTTTTGGTTGCAGAGATGCACGAGTGGTGAAGGACATGACAACTGGAAAATCAAAAGGCTATGGTTTTGTGTCTTTCTTCAACAAATGGGTATGTTGTTTAGTTCCTGTTTGTACTGAAGTTTCCACCCTCACATGTTACCTGGTATCAATTTACCTTGGGCTTTTTTCTGTTGCTGGGGATTTCCACCTTGAGTATTGAAAAACCCTTAGGGCTCTTTCACCTAGGTGACAGTGCTTACCGCTCTCAGTAAAGCAATCCACAATGGAACTGGCAAACATTTAAAAAGTGATCCTGCTGACTTTTTTTTTTTTTTCTTTCTATCCCAAAAGTGATTTTGTATTAGGATACCACACTGCAACCGCAATCTAGGCATTTGCCTTATGGTTGTAGTGCTCAAATGTACAAATTTGACAGATAACTGCAGGCCAAGTTAAAATTGCTGCACAGTGTGTACAGCCCTTTCCAGCTGTAATGTTAGAATTTAGGTGGGCATCCAGGGGGAGGGTAAAACTGTGACTTTGCTGCCTGTGTTTAGGCCACCCCCAACCGCCCATGTGAAAGAGCCCTTACTGTGAGAATTACTGGTAGTTTTGAAGCTGCTGGAGGTATTGGAGCAACACAGATTTTTCAAAGCCCTTTAAATCCCTTGGTGCTGATTTACTATCCTGATTTATTTACCCTGCAGAATCTTGTTTCCGAAAGATAGACATTTAGCCCATCCACCATGCTTTGTTTTGTTCTGTTTTCTTTAACCATTTCCACGCCGTGCTACACGGCGACACCTGTGCGTAAAATCACGTGTGTGTGTGTGTATATATGTGTGTGTGTGTATGTGTGTATATGTACACACACACATACACATACACACACATACATACACACACACACACACACACGTAATTTTGCATTTCCGGGCAGGGAGGGTTGCGCGAGCCCTACCTGCGCCGCCATTCGCTGCCGCGGATGTGAATCTCCGGGTTCCGGCTGGTGATTACTGACAATCACCGACAGGAAGAAAGACTGTTTTGTTTACAAACAGTCTTCCTCCCTGTCAGCTCAAGCACACTGCTCGGGACGGCTGTGCACATCCCCCCAGTGTCAGAATGTCCGCCGCAGTCCCGCTAATGTACGCCGCTGATGGCTGCCATTACTAGTAGAAAAAGATAAGTTAAAAAATCCCAGTATCTATACCGCCATTTGTAGACGTTATAACTTTCATGTAAGCCAATTAATTTACACATATTGGGATTTTTTTTTATTAGCAACGACATGTAGCAGAATACATTTTGGCCTAAATGTATGACAAAATTTTATTCTTTTAATTTTATACTGGGCATATTTAATAGCAAAAAGTCCAAAATATTGTTTTTTTTTTTCTCTCAAAATTGTTAGTCTTCCTTTGCTTATAGCGCAAAAAATAAAAACCGCACAGGCGAGCAAATACCACCGAAAGAAAGCTCAATTCGTGGGGGGAAAAAAAAAAAGGATGGAAATTTAATTTGGGTGCAGGGCTGCATGATCGTCAGTAACACAGTGGTGTAACAAAAAAATGGCCTGGTCAGGAAGGGGGGTAAATCCTCAGGAGGGCAAGTGGTTAATGCAAGGTGCACTTAATGTTTACAGGCCTCATCCACTGTAATTAATAGCAGCTTCAGAGTATAACAAAAACACAAAATATATATACTACCTTGTGTGTAGCTCTCTCCCACAGCGTTTAGGAAAAGGTGACATGGTCGTCCTTCTGGCGAAATCCTGGGGAATGCCAAATATTGCTGCACTGTGCTGGAGCATCATCTTCGAAATTTGGTAAACTGGGTATTCCCTGGGATCTCTGTGGAAGGAAGGTGATCTCACCACCTGCAGTACAGAAACTGGTTGTAGGGTAAGCATGATTTTTAACTTTTATTCCCCCCCCCCCCATGTTCATAGCTAATAGATTTTAAGAAATCTTAAGAATCAGAGTAGTGTGTAGTAGCATTTTAGTCTTTAATGTCTTGTCTTTTCAGGATGCAGAAAGTGCCATTGCACAGATGGGAGGACAGTGGCTTGGTGGTCGACAAATCAGGACAAACTGGGCCACAAGAAAACCTCCAGCCCCAAAAAGCACCTATGAATGTGAGTAGCTACAACAGAATATCATTACCAGCTATCTAAAAACAGTTGCAACTGATTTGGATCCTGTTTCTGTAAAAAAAATATTTATCCATTAAAATGTAACTGTTTTTGGAAAAATAAAAAGTGTAGGATGGTTGGCATTGCCTTTTTACTTTTATTATAATATTATGATTATAATGACACAATTTTAACTCCCAACGTTTGTTCATTACATATTAACAACTTTTATATGTCTGACACTGGGATGCCAGAATTATAAAAGGTGTAAACAGTATTTCTTTACCACTCATTAAGGAACACAGGATTACTAGTTATTCTGATACTATTGAGTCATACTGTAACACAGGGCTTGACAAATTTGCTTTGAATCTAGGAGCCAGCTAAAAAAGTTAAAGATATTAGCCAGTTTTTTCAGCATAACATGGGTTGTCGGAGCATGGGGCAAGGCAACATTTTAGTGACAAGCTACATGCGATTGGCTGCATGACAATCACAGCAAAACCGCACCACATTTTAGGTGCCATTGAAAATAATGGCATCTGAAGATGCGTTTTGTGATTGCAGCTAATCTGCCAGGATCCCAAAACTCCCAGGTGTGAATGGAGCTACCCTGGTTCACACATATGCGATTCTTGCTGCATTTTCAAATTATCAGATTCGCATGACAGGCTAGATATTATGCGTTCCTATTGAGGTGGTTCACACAAATGTGATTCACATGCATTGCGTTTTTGAGTTCCATTATGAAAAGGGTCCTGTGCGAGTTTGTTTGCAGTACGTTGCAGACTTGCAAGTGTTAAAGTAGATATGGAGATAAGTGTCACATAAGATTGCTATTGACAAGTGTTTTTGCATTGAAGTCAATGGGATGCAGTTGTAGAGAGAGAGACAAAATTGCACCTTTACTGTAATCTCACAGAAACTGGAAATGCATTGATTTCAGTACACATCTGTGAACCCAGGTGCCAAGATGCAATTTCTAGTTGCTGTGGAAACTTGGAACCTGAGTTTTGTCGAGCCCTGCTGTAACAGGTCAGACCTCATAACTAGACTTAGGAAGCACCTAACTACATTGGACAAAGTACTTGCATGTAGTTTATCTGAGGGCAAAACTATACAAAAGAATTGTAATAGTACAAGTACAAAAGTACTTTAATAAAACACTGACTGCATGAGAGGCAGTGTCCAGCGGCTTAACATAAAAATTAAAGGGAGTGCTGTACTTACAAAACAATGTCAGTACAGCGATCTCTTCTGTCACGATCCCAGCATCAGACCCCAGACCTTCTCACCCAAACTCGTGACCGAAGGACTAGCCAATCTAAAATCGCGATGTGATGTGCATAACAATGCCACACCCAGCTGCACCCTGCACAACGATTTTCCAGCTAACGGACCACAATCGATGTACCGGCAGCCTTGTTACTGGGTCAGGTTAATTATGCAATTAACCCTTCACACTGCCATCACCTCCTATTTGTACAGAGAGGAAACTCGGCGTATCAGCTATAACACTATAATGATTGAAATAATCGACTGCATAACACGGTCATAACACAGGCTTGTTATACAGAGGGTTAAACAAACAGTAGCGTTCTCTTTAGAGGCAGGAATTCATAAGTTTCAATACAGAGCAATAGAAACAGTTCAACACTTTCAGAAAGAAAGATTTATTACTAAAAGGTCAAACGGGTGCAATAAAAATATTTACAGAAAAAAGATGTAACTAAGATGTTAGATGTAACTAAGATATATATATATATATATATATATATATATATATATATATATATATATATAGAGAGAGAGAGAGAGAGAGAGAGAGAGAGAGAGAGAGAGAGAGAGAGAGAGAGAGAGAGAGAGAGAGAGAGAGAGAGAGAGAGAGAGAGAGAGAGAGAGAGAGAGAGAGAGAATGAATAACTAACAGCACAGCAAAGAGATATCAGAGAGAGGTGAAAGGTTTAAGGTACTTGCCAAAGTCCTGGGTTAGCAGATCCAAGTTTCAGAGCAAAAGGGCATGGGTCTCCCCAGGTGGTATTGATGTTAAAATGGCAGACATCTTCAACTTCCTACTCTTAGGCCTGACAGCCTGTTTTGTATTCCCCAGCAGGGGGTGGCTCTGCAGTCAAGGACCAATCTCTGCTTAGGGTGTGGGGAGATGGGTGGATGCCTCAACTATAGCAAAAATTTCCCATAATTCATATTTCTTATAACTTTTCATCTGCACAAGTGACCCTCCACCCGCGGGGAGATTATTATGCAGACAAGTCTGAGGATTGATTAGATATGAATTATGAAAGTGTACACTGAATGGTTTGCAAGATCTATTTTTCTGCTTTCCTGTGTGTCCCAAAACAAGGCGAAGACCCAAAATGTTTGACTCCTCTTAGCCCATCTGGCGATATGCTCGGTTTTTATGTAAGTCTCTCATATTCCAAGATATGAGACAGGGGGAAAATGGTTTTAACAGAGGTTATCTGATTCTGTCACCTACACTGAGTTAGGTTTTATTAGGTTGGAATCTCTCTCAACTCCAGAGAAAGCTTGCCTTATCTCTTCTGAGGTGTAAAATGGGACAGCTCGCCCAGACAGCTAGGCACCTAGCTCAGAGATGCCTTGGCCTGCCAGTGACCCACAACCAACACACACACACTGGCCAAATGTCTCCTCTCAGAGGGGGAGGGAGTGAGGGGAGAAAAATGGATACTCTTTAACAAAATGGCGGACTGCTCAGTCACTGTTTCGCACGTTTGCGACATCTTCCACTGTGCCTTTGTGTTCTGGAAGGACAGCTGAACCAGCTTTAGTGATCCTTTTTAAATGACTGTTAGTCTTTTGTACAGGGTGTATCTTATGTGGTTTCTCCTGTACAAGCTCATGTGACTCCTTTTGGCTCTACATTTTGGTTCTGTTGGATTTTCAAAGGCTGCCATTTGCATCTATTAGGGATACTCCTCTTCTTTTTTTTTTTTTTTTTTTTTTTTTTTTTTTTCACTCTCACAAAGTTGTGTTCCATGATGCTATCACCTCTGCAATACGTGTGTCTGACCTGGTGGCCCTATCATGTAAAGAAGCCTTTTTCGTCTTGACACAATAAGGTGGTATTGAGCCTGTTTACTTCCTAGGGTAGTATTGTTCTTTCACCTAAACCAGGGCATTGTTCTTTTATTTCTCTGTTTGGCTTCAGTACTTCAGAAGGAAATTTCCCCTCACTGCCTGGATTTAGTTTGTGCTGTATGAGTTTACCTTGATGCCAGTGCTTCCTTTAGGAAGATTGACCTTTTTGGCATTCCTGATAGTCCACATAAAGGAGAACATGGCTCTCTTTTTTCCCTTTCTCTGTGGCTGTGGCAGATTACTGTTCAGGCCTTAAGGGCATAGTTCTAGCATTGGGCTTTTTAGGTCCTTTGGGCTTTTTAGGTCCTCAAGCAATGGTTTCCCAGATTTGCAAGGCTGCCACCTGTACTTCTGTTCACATGTCAAAGTTTTTTACCAGGTAGATGTTCAGGCGTCACCTGATGCCAGCTTGGAGAGTAGGGTTCTTCAGGTAGCTCTTTGCCTTGCAGACTTGACCTTTAGATGTATGTTTGTTATGTGGGCCTATTGGTGTTTGTTTCATGTATTGCCCATCCTTCAGTTGGCCTGTCTTTGGACATCCCAATTGTATCAGAATAACTACTGATCCTATGGCCCTTAAAGCGGAGCTACACTGCCTCTGAATGCCACAAACCAAAACGCTATTCATTTTTCATTTTCAGAATAAACGCCCCCATCTATCCATCCGTCCCTCCATGCTTTATTTTGTTAAGAAATCAATTTGAAAAACACTCCTGAGCATTTCTGGCTGCAACCATCTTGAATAAGGGCAGTAGCATTTTTACTTCCTGAAATCCACCTTCCCTTAGCCTAGACATGCAGGCAGTTGGGTGTGCTTAGCTAAAAAAAACTCCCCCTCCACTCCTGAAGATGCCTGGGAAGTATGACATAGTTTGCCTAGAGTTGAACCAGGAAGTAACTGAAGAAATGTAAATACGTTAAAACCAGTAAACTATTTATTAATGTTAGCAGCAGATTTTAAAACAAATTCAGCGTTGATTGGGAGAGTGAAGTTCCACTATAATGATAAACTATACAGGATGTTTGTACTTGCTATAAAATCTGTTCCTTAGTTTATTAAGTGCCGGTTCACATATATGCAGATTGGATGTGGTTTGAATCGCATCCAGTCCTCATAAGTGAAAAAAACATTGCTTCCTATGGTGCCTGTTCACATACACCATATTGCCAAAAGTATTGGGGCGCCCCTGCAACTTATTGGATGCAGGTGTATAAAATCAAGCAGCTAGGCATGCAGACTGCTTCTACAAACATTTGTGAAAGAATGGGTTGCTCTCAGGAGCTCAGTGAATTTAAGAGTGGTACCATGATAGGTTGCCACCTGTGCAATAAGTCCATCCGTGATATTTCCTTGCTACTAAATATTCCATGGTCAACTGTTAGTGGTATTATAAGAAAGTGGAAGCAACTGGGATCAACAGCAACTCAGCCACAAAGTGTTAGGCCACATAAAATGACAGAGCTGGGTCAGCGCATACTGAAGCACACAGTGTGCAGGAGTCACCAACTGTCTGCAGAGTCAATAGCTAAAGACCTCCAAACTTTGTGTGGCCTTCAGATTAGCACAACAACAGTGCGTAGAGAGCTTCATGGAATTGGTTTCCATGGTCAAGCAGCTGCATCCAAGCATTACATCACCAAGTGCAATGGTGTAAAGCACACCGCCAGTGGACTCTAGAGCAGTGGAGACAGGTTCTCTGGAGTGACGAATCACTATTTTCTGTCTGGCAAACTGATGGATGTGTTTGGGTTTTGCGGTTGCCAGGAGAATGGTACTTGCCTGACTGCATTGTGCTAACTGTAAAGTTCAGTGTAGGGGGGTTTATGGTGTGGGGTTGTTTTTTCAGGGTTTGGACTTGGCCCCTTAGTTCCAGTGAAGGGAACTTTTAAAGTGTTACTAAACCCAGTACCCTGCATTGACTATATCTGGTCTCTCACAGAACATGGAAATGCAAATATTTTGGTAACTTTAAACTAAATACTTTTTCTCATCAGCAGTTAGAGAAGTCTTGTAACTTCAGCAGAGCACTAGTTAAAGCTTGTAGGAGTTTTCTTTCTGCTCTAGGAAGATGCAAAACCTCTGATCTTGTCTGGACAGTGCTGATTGGCCCTGTGCTGATTCCACCCTCCCAAAAAAAAAAACCTAGAAAACCTCTAGCAATACACACCAAACTGAGCATTTGCGACCACGGGTTCAGTCTGTATCAGGTGGTCATTTCAACAAGAGGAGGGGCAGAGAAGAAAGGATCAAATGGCCTTTTTACACAATGCAGAGGATTACCCCTGTAGGTTCCACAGTGAGTATAACAAGCATGCTTTACTGCATACTGATTTTACTGTTGTGGGTTTAGTAACACTTTAAAGTGTTGGCATACCAATACATTTTGGACAATTTCATGCTCCGAACTTTGTGGGAACAGCTTGAGGATGGTCCCTTTCTGTTCCAACATGTCTGTTCACCAGAGCAGAAAGCAAGGTCCATAAAGACATGGATAAGTTTGGGATGGAGGAACTTGACTGGCCTGCACAGAGCCTGACCTTAACCTGATTAGAACACCTTTGGGATGAATTAGAGTAGAGACTGTGAGCCAGGCCTTTTCGCCGACATCAGTGCCTGACCTCACAAATGTGCTTCTGGAAGAATGGTCAAACATTCCCATAGACACACTCCTAAACCTTGTGGACAGCCTTCCCAGGAGAGTTGAAGCTGTTTATAGCTGCAAAGGGGACTGTGCCAACTCAATATTGAACCCTTCAACGGACTAAGACTGGGATGCCATTAAAGTTCATGTGCGTTTAAAGGCAGGCAGCCCAATATTTTTGGCAATATAGTGTACGTCTGGTGCAGTGGCGGTGTGGATTTAGTGCAGTTTGAAAAAGTCATGTGCGATTTCTGAGCAGTGCCTACAGGCTATTGACTTTTATGGGAACCATTTCTAAACCGCAAATGTGTGAACAAGATAAGATCCTAACCTAATTCTCTCCTGAACCTGATGTAAACCGGACATGAACTGCTGAACACCTACTGTATCAGCTGTGAAACCTGATCTTCAATCCGGAACTGCACATATGTGAATCAGCTCTAAGGGACACTGATCCCACCCCTCTTTGTTTTGATTTAATCCTTAAACTGCTTTTCTACAAAACTGGAATGGGGAAAGTTGTACAAGACTGGGCAGCGGCTTTTTTTTTTTTTGTTTTTTTTTTTCTTGTTTGCTAGTGTCTAATCATGCTGAAGGCGGTGGTATACAGTGCCTTGAAAAAGTATTCATACCCCTTTTAATTTTCCACATGTCATGTTACAACCAAAAACATTTTGGTGGTGGGTCAACGATGGTCTGGGGAGGCATATCCATGGAGGGACACACAGACCTCCACAGGCTAGACAATGGTACCCTGACTGCCATTAGGTATTTGGATGAAATCCTTGGACCCATGGTCAGACCCTATGCTGGTACAGTGGGTCCTGGGTTCCTTCTGGTGCATGACAATGCCCGGCCTCATGTGGTGAGAGTATGCAGGCAGTTTCTGGAGGATGAAGGAATTGATACCATTGAATGGCCCCCACTCCTGTCTGACCTACATCCAATAGAACCCCTCTGGGATATCATGTTTTGGTCCATTCGACGTAGTCATGTTGCACCTCAGATTGTCCAGAAGCTCAGTGATGCCCTGGTCAAGATCTGGGAGGAAATACCCCAGGACACCATCCATCATCTTGTTAGGGGCATGCCCCAACATTTGTCAGGCATGCATACAAGCACGTGGGGGCCATACAAACTACTGAGTACCATTTTGAGTTGTTGCAATGAAATTTCAGCAATATGGACTAGCCTGCTGCATCATTTTTTTTCACTTTGATTTTTGGGGTGTCTTTGAATTCAGTCCTCTGTAGGTTGATAATTTTCATTTCCATCAAACAATGGGGCATCCTTACATTCCTAACGCATTACCCAGTGTATATCAGTATAGATATCCAGCATGATATTTTCTCCATTGAGATCTGATGTGTTTTCAAAGTGTTTCTTTTTTTGAGTAGTGTACAAATGCACGCCACACTTTTCAGATATTTATTTTTTTAAAAAAGTTTGAAACCATTTATCATTTTCCTTCCACTTCACAATTATGTGCCACTTTGTGTTGGTCTATCACATAAAATCCCAATAAAATACATTCACGTTTTTTGTTGTAACATGACAAAATGTGGATAATTTTAAGGGGTATGAATACTTTTTTAAAGGCACTGTAACCCAATTGTATCAGAATAACTGCTGGTTCTGTGACCCTTCATAAACTTCAAGAAATTGATTTTATAGCAAGTACAAAGTCCATATTTATAAAGGAAATTTTCCCATAGTGCTTTACAAACTAAATGCAAAATTTTAATCTACTTTAATGTATAGTATTTGTCTAGGTCTTGCTGATTTTATTATGCAAGTGCTTTAACAGCCCATGAATTTGCTAGCACTTTTGTCTGTTTGTGTGACCCTGGAAGCTGAAAAACGTGGTATTCTGGGTTTCACAAAATCATTATTTCTGTCTCTGCCTTTTTGTATTTTTGTAAATTTGTTTTTTTATTTGTATGTAATGTAGTTAGATCTTTTATCTATAAACATTCCTAAATATGCTTTCTCTTCAGCCAACACAAAACAGTTGTCTTATGATGAGGTGGTCAACCAGTCAAGCCCCAGCAACTGTACTGTGTATTGTGGTGGTGTTACATCTGGATTAACAGGTAAGCATTATGCGTTTCAAAGCTGGTATATCATGCCGTGAGGGGGGGGGGGAGGACTTGCTTTTAATGTAGTGTCTATGGTTTTTCTGCAGAACAACTCATGCGTCAGACTTTTTCTCCATTTGGCCAAATAATGGAGGTCCGTGTTTTCCCAGATAAAGGGTACTCTTTTGTACGGTAAGTTTCATTTTCTAAGTCATTTACTGCATAGGGAGCTGAGTGCTCTCCTTTCTTTTGTGTATGTTGTCTTTCTGTGTTTTCCTTTCATAAAAATTTGGTTTTTTTTAAACATATCTTAGCCACGCCCTCCTGAGGATTTACCCCCTTTCCTGACCAGCCCTTTTTTTTGCTATTCGGCACTGCACTATTTCAACTGGTAATTGCGCAGTCATGCAATGCTGTACACAGACTAAATTTATGTCCTTTTTTTCACACAAATAGAGCTTTCTTTCTGTGGTACTTGATCACCTGTGCGCTTTATATTTTTTGTGCTATAAGCAAAAAAGTCCAAAAATGTTGAAAAAAATCTCCATATTTTTTACTTTCAGCTATAAAAAATATATAGTAAACTCAAAGTTAGTCATAAATTTAGGCCAAAATATATTCTGCTACATGTTTTTGGTATAAAAAAAAAATAACCCCCAATAAGTGTATATTGATTGCTTTGTGTGAAAGTTATAGCGTCTACAAACTGTGGTATCAATACTGCAATTTATGCCATTTTTTGCTATACATCCACTGCCAACAATTGACAATTGCACGGTCATGCAGTACTCTACATAAATTAAATTTATATCCTTCCTTTTTTCACACAAATAGAGCTTTCTTTCTGTTCTATTTGATCACCTGTGCGCTTTTTATTTTTTGCGCCATAAACAAAGACCAAGACAAAAAAAAACTAAAAATTTTGTCATAAATTTAGGCCAAAATGTATTCTGCTACATGTTTTTGGTAAAAAAAAAAAATCCCAATAAGTGTATATTGCTTTTGTGTGAAAGTTCTAGCATCTACAAACTATGGTATGGATCAGTGTTTCTCAACCTTTTTTCAGTCAAGGCACTCTTTAAAATTATGGACAGTCTTGAGGTACCCCTAGACCAGGGGTCTGCAACCTTTAAGACATAAAGAGCCACTTGGACCCGTTTCCGAGAGGGAAAAAAAGACTGGGAGCCGCAAAACCATTGCAACATTTAAAACAAATCCGACACTGCATATATTGCAAAAAGCGCTCTGGTCATGAAGGGGGTTTAAGGGCCCAGTAAGCAAAGGGTTAATCAGGGCCACAGTGTATCGTCATAATCACAATCATAGCCTTAGGTCAGTGGTGGGCAACCTTTTTTTTCAACTGAGCCAAATCTCGCCAAAACCACGATTGAAATTTATTTTGAGAGCCACATTTTTAAAACTGAAAATACATCCCCCATATAGTAATTCATCCCCCATATAGTAATTCATCCCCCATATAGTAATTCATCTCCCATAGTAATTCATCCCCCCTATAGTAATTCATCCCCCATATAGTAATTCATCCCCCCTATAGTAATTCACCCCCCCTATAGTAATTCATCCCCCATATTAAGTCCCCCCTGTGTCAATTCACTTACCTTTGCTCCGCGCGTTCCTCTCGCCGTGTTCCCGCGCCGTTCCGGTGTAGCATGAAAATCTGTCTCCTATGAGGATCTGTCCCCCTCGACGTATCTGCGCATGTGCCAGTTTCAGGCATTAGCAGCCGATCGGCGATCTCCGGCACATGCGCAAATACGTCGAGGGGGACAGATCCTCATAGGAGACAGATTTTCATGCCACACCGGTCTTCAGGGCGGACTGTGAGAGGAGCCTAGCGGGAGCCTAGCTCCGTGGGCCGGACTAAAAGGTCCGCCGGGCCGTAGTTTGCCCATTGCTGCCCTATTGCCTGTCACCCGGTGGGCAGTGTGCTCCGGAGCCGCAGCCAAGGTGAAAAAGAGCCGCGGGTTGCAGACACCCGCCCTAGACTGTCCATAATTTTAAAAGGGCACCTCATTCTAAAATGTGAAAAACTATTCTAATAGTTTTATATAACGCAGCAACATCCACACATGTAGGATACCCAAAATTAGAGGTGATTTATTCTTCCAAAGCAAATACACTTTTGCACACTGGTACTGACTAGTATTCCATTGTTTCTCTTCTCCCTGAGTTTTCTCCATCACTGAGCTAATGTGACCCCAGCACTGATAGAGAGGGGCAGGGGAGGGTCATACTAGAATGCTGTGCAAGAAACCGACATACTCCTCAACTAATGATGCCATTGGTTGCAAGGATGCCAGCGGCTAGAAGGTGGTAATGATGCACAATGAAAACCTGTGGCTTTGTTGCAACTAAAAGGCAGGCTTGTTGCACCCGCTGGCTTGTATACAAGTTTTGGGCAATTTTTAGACATTTTGCCAAGGCACCCCAGGCTGCCTGGACACCCTGGTTGAGAGAGGCTGGTATAGATAATGGAATTTACACAGCTTTTACTTTCTGACTGCCTATCACATTTTTTTAGGTGCTAAAAGGCGATCAAAGGGTTAACTGTGTGCTGGGAGTGTTTTACTAGGGGGGGGGGGTGCTTTACTGTAAGCACACTTCTCTAGATGGCTGTGCACAGCCATCCAGAGCACTGTGCCCGAGCCGACAGGGAGGAGGACTGTTAGTAAACAAAGCAGCCCTCCTCCCCGTCGGTGATCGTCGGTAATAACCGGGCACTGGCGGGTAATCACTGGCCGGGACCCCTACACAGAAATGCAAAATCACGTGTGTGTGTGTGTGTATATATATGTGATTTTGCGCTCCTGTGCCACCCTATAGCAGTATTTCTGCTATAGGGCAGTCGGGAAGCGGTTAATAAAAAGAATAAAAAAAAAAAAAAAAGACTACTAAGCTGTTACCCACACAGGGGTGTGTAATAAAGGGATACAGCAGTGATGTACCATAGAAGCACAGGTAAAATTGAAGTAGTTGTGGTGTGGCTTCTCACCGTTTAGCTATCAGCAGTGAGTACCTTATGAAATAACATAGCGTATGTTACCACATATGGCCCTGTGAGGGATGTGTTATTTAGAAAGGCATTAAAAGGAGTATCTGATTAGTTATTATGAAGAAGTAGGGCCCGCTAACCATTTAAACCATATGTTTTCTTAATTTACCGGACAACCATGGTTAGCATAGGTGTTTTTATATAACAGAAGATTATTATTTACCAGTTATTTCCAAAAAGAAAATGGATGGGGGGACTAGTGAAGGGTACAGAACAGGCTCTTCTGGCTAATAAAGGAAAGAGCAAGTATCTTAGGGTATCTTAAGCAGGAATTATATTTAAAAAGTAGAGTTCAGCTTCACTTTTAAGTATACCTTTTGTTGGAGAAATGAGCTGTCATTGCTTACCTTGTTCTGAAAATGATGTTTGCCTGGCTGTTATGAGATCTGAGGTCTTTATTATTTTATAAATCGCTGACTGGGAGCAAGTATTTCAATCGGTAAAGTCATAGTCGTCATCTTCATAATAACTGAGGTTGGCAATGACTGCTTCCTTTTTCGAAAAATTTCCTTTTAAAATGGTATGCTATCTTTTATGTCTAGAATTCTAACTATATACCAGTGCTTGATAACAAAGCCCCATCTGCTCAAAGAGGCTTTAAAAATTTCAGTTTGGCAATTTTTTTTTTTTGCATAATCTGGCCCTGGCACAGAAATCTCATGAAAGGATTTTTTATATAACCATGTACATCGTGTGCTCTATCTTTTCATAACAATGTTTAGTTGGATTATATTGACATGATCCTGCACTTTTGGAACCTGGAATGCATTCTCTGCATTAAGGTAAAAAAAATATTTTGTTGTGCAGCAACCCCTCCCCACTCCTAAATACTTACCTGAGCTCAATGTCAATCCAGCGCTGTGCACGAGAACAGGACTCAGTGAGTAGTGGGAATCATGGCTCCTGCTGTTGTCAACCAAAACTAGTGATAAGGGAGCGGGAGGCTGAGCCGCACTATGTGCGTCAGTAGCACACAGTGTGGTTCGGGATAGAGCCAGCACGAGTACCAAGCCAATCCCCCCCTCCCCCCCTTCCCACCGGACAAGCTGCATGCTGTAGGAGGGAAACTTAGAGGAGCCAGGAGTGCCAGCTGGGGATACTAGAAGATGAGTATCGGGGTTGCTCCGTGCAAAACCACTGCACAGAGCATGTAAGTATGACAGATTTGTTATTTTAAAAGAACCTTTGCAATCCCTTTAACCACTTGCCTACCGGGCACTTTTACCCCCTTCGTGCCCAGGCCAATTTTCCGCTTTCAGCACTGTCACACTTTGACAATTGTGCAGTCATGCACATATGAATTTATAATTTTTTTTGCACACAAATAGAGCTTTCTTTTGGTGGTATTTAATTGCCATTGGGTGGTCTATTTTTTGCACTAGAAACAAAAAAAGAGCAAACAATTTTTTTAAAAATCAAGTTTTTCTTTGTTTCTATTATAAAATTTTGCAAACAGGTAATTTTTCTCTGATGTGCGTTTGAGGCTGCACTGATTGGCAGCATTGATGGGCATGGGTGAGGCGGCACTGCTGGGCACTGATCATCAGTGCCGATCTGTTCTATGACCATTGCCAGTTATCGACAGTACTTTCACAGCTTGAGGAAAGTGCTGCCGATAACTGGCAACTGTATTTACTCCATGATCTGCTGTGTCATTGGACACAGCTGATCACGTGGTAAAAGGCCGCTGTGATTGGCCTTTTACCTCATCACGTGATCAGCTGTGTCCATAGGACACAGGTGATCACGGAGATCTCCTTGGGCGCTTGGGAGGGCACGTTCTGGGAGGACATCATATGACGCTTTCCCAGAACTGGACAACCATGCTGTAGCCATCATTCAGCTATAGCGTGGTTGGCAAGCGGTTAACTTGTCTATATGATATGAACCCATGAGTACACAAAGTTTCCTCTGTTTTGTGATGGCCTAAAGCAGGGGTTAGTGGGAATGGGGGAGGTTCTGTGGAAAAATGTAATACTGTGAATAATATTTGAAGATGATTATGTGTCTTTACAGGTTTAATGCCCATGAAAGTGCAGCTCATGCTATAGTTAGCGTGAATGGAACTACTATTGAAGGTCATGTGGTAAAGTGCTACTGGGGCAAGGAGACTCCAGATATGCTGAATCCAGTACAACAAGTAAGTGCAATTTACATCTTTTGCAGGCAGTTACTAAGCCAGATGCTAAACAAAGGTAAATTTAAATAGTTGATGATGTGGGTACATGTTGATGACCATAGTAATTCACTAGGATAATTTCATGAAAGTAACATTTTCTTTGAGTAACATGAGGGGCTCCCCTTCACTATATGTCAGCGTGTTTTGAAGGACTAAAGCGTACCTCCAGGTGAGTTTGTTTTTTCATAGAATATGACTTTGGCACTGCAGTAACCAAAATCACATTGCTACCAGTGGGTGCTGCAGGTAGAATATATCATTCCATCAGCTGCTGGTGTTGACCCATTTACACAACAAAAGGGTTCAGAACAGGTAAGGGAATTTAGTTTGAAATGGAAATCCCCTAGGGCAGGGGTGGGCAACTGTGGCCCTCCAGCTATTGTAGAACTACAAGTCCCATGAGGCATTGCAAAACTGACAGTTACAAGCATGACTCCCAAAGGCAGAGGCATGATGGGACTTGTAGTTCAACAGCTGGAGGGCCACAGTTGCCCAGCCCTGCCCTAGGGGTAACATACAGGTCCACACAAAACATTTATTTGAGTTTGAATGCGAAGAGTTGGAACCACGCAGAAAGTGAGTAGAAGATCTCCAACAGTAATGTAGACAGAAGTTTTAACCGTTTCTCACACTGCTGGAAAATAATTTATGGAGAGATTTTTCAATAACTGTTCTTAAAGTGAGGGCATACTGTACCTTCTCAGTACAGAAAATGACAGTAGTAAAGGCACACACAGCAATAAAATCCTGATGTGTACTTATCTCTCTCTACTCTATCCAAAATTAAAAAAAAAATGGTGACCAGTTATTCTTAACATTTCTTAACTTACTGAAAGAGTCCCTTTCAGATCAATTAAGATCAATTTTTTTTTCCTGCAATAACCATTGTGGTTGTGGTCGTATGAGTGATTCAGGAATGGACATCTTCCAAACCTAACCAGAGGACACCATTTAACCACTAGCCTACAGGGCACTTATACCCTCTTCCTGCCCAGGCCAATTTCCAGCTTTCAGCACTGTCACACTTTGAATGACAATTGCACAGTCATGCAACACTGTACCCATATGAAATTTTATTTAGTTAGTGACAGAGCTTTATTTTGGTGGTATTTAATCACCTCTGGGTTTTTTTTATTTTTTCTTAAACCAAAAACCACTGAAAATTTTGAAAAAAAAAAATTTTTTTTCTTAGTTTTTGCTATAAAATTTTGTAAATAAGTGATTTTTCTCCTTCACTGATGTGCGCTAATGAGGCTGCAGTGATGGGCACTGTTAGGCTGCACTGATAGGTGGCACTGGTAGGTGGCACTGATGGGCATTGACAGGCATCACTGATGGGCACTGAAAGGCAGCACTCATATATGGCACTGACTGGCACTGTTAGGTGGCACTGACGGGCACTGATAGGTGGCACTGATGGGTGACACTGAAAGGTAGCTCAGATGGGCACTGATATGTGGCATTGATGTGCACTGATGGGCACTGGCAGGTGGCATGGATGAGCACTGACAGGTGGCACTGCTGGGGCTACACAGATCATCAGGGCACACTGATCATCAGTGCTCTGATGATCAGTGTACATGTCCCCTCCGAGGAATGCCGATTACCACCGACTCTCTTCTCTGCTGTAGCTTTCAGCGCGACAGCTCGTGAGGAGAGAAATGCCGATAACCAGCATTTCCCTGTTTACATGTTTTCAGCTGTGATTGGACACAGCTGATCATATGACCGAGCCGACATCTTTGGCTCTTTCCGTTGATCGGTGATCCGCTGTGTCCGAGGGGCACAGCTCACCGCCGATCGCCGCGCTGCTCGCTTCCGAAACCGCGCATGCACGGTCAGAGAACCTCCTTGCGCCCGTCGTACTATATGGCAGGCAGGAGGCGGTTAATATAGTTTCCCCTGAATAAAGTTTTAGTATGTTCGCTTGTTATTTTATGAACATTTTACTCCTTGATGCATAATAAAGCAAGTGTGTGATTTTCGTTAGTGCCTTTATTATGCCTTTGCTGTGTGCCTTACCTTTGATTGTCACTTTTTTCTTTTCTCCTTCTTTCCACACTCAGCAAAGCCAAATTAGCTTTCCGCCAACATATGGACAGTGGGGGCAGTGGTATGGAGGAGCTCAGCAAATAGGCCAGTATATGCCCAATGGTTGGCAGGTGCCTGCATATGGAGTGTATGGACAAGCTTGGAATCAGCAAGGCTTTAGGTAAGGATTTAATGTAGATCACCGTCCATTGATAAAAAGGACAATCACGTAGGTGATTCAAATGAAGTGTGAGTTGTGTGTGGGCGCATCAACCCCAAAGTGTAAATCTGCTTTTACAGATCCTTTTAGAGGATACGTATATTTTGTTTAAAAGTATACTTGTCTTTAATATCTAGGCTCCTTGGCTAAAATAAAACTCCCCACCCCCTTCAGAGATCTATACTTTTGTTTATGCTTCAGTCCTCTGATGCTGGGAGAGTGAAGGCAGCAAAAATCTCAGTAGCCAGGCCTGCATATTTGCCATAGACTTAAGTAGACCAGTCAACCAATACAATTGATGTTACTGTACTGTAAAAGTCAGTGGATTTTGGTGATAAGCTTTTTGTGGCTTGAAGATGAGGGACAGAAGAGCTCCAGCCACGGTGTTTAGGTAAGTTTGGGGAGAGAGGGTTGGTTTCATTTTAGTGGATGCTAGCCTTTACTGAACTCCATGTACATATGCTGTTTTGCTGGTTGACCTATGACGCGTTTTCATACACTATAGTACCACTGTGAAGAGCTGCCACATTAAAGGAAACCTGGGAGAAATATAAAGGCTGAAAATGTCAGTTGCATGGCTGCCTCTGGCTTCAGTGCATTCTGATTTGATGAGTTCAGGAGTTTTCACCATACTTGTGGCAAGTTAATGACATGGAAGCTGTACAGTCAGACATTTGGCATTTTCAGATTGGCACAGCAGTGGCTAATTCCCAATTTTTTCCTATGACATATATATTTCTATAATATATATATTTAAAACTAAAATCTGGGCACAAAAGCTTTTATATAAATGTATTTAAGAATAGCCCCAAAATTTATAAACCCATTTTATGTACTAAATTCCTTTGCAAACCCAGTTATCTGCTTGTGAAACTAGTAGTAACATCACTGTGCTGCACAGTCTGTACAGGAAACAAATGTGGGAGGGACCCAAAAGGTGCACCCTCTACATGCTTCCTGCTGAAAACTGTTCAGGAGAGAGAAATAGCAGTGACTGGTCTTAATGCTCCTGCACAGCTTCATAGCTCAGAGTTCAGGGTTAACCAAATAAACTGTATAGCAGGTGTATGCATATTGCAGCAGAACTGCTAGGACTCATATGTTTGTGTCGCACACACACACAATGAGCTTTTTCATCCAACAGGTGGAGTAACCTCCTGAATCAGATGTTGAACCCTAACTTGGCATAAAACATGATGTTTTCTATGACATATGCAAATGTTGTCTTCTGCAATTCTTACAGCAGCTATACAGATTCCATAATGGATCCTCTTCGTTTTTGTTTTTTTTTTTTTTTTTCTTTTTTTTTGCAGTCAAACGCCATCATCTGCAGCGGCGGCAGCAGCAGCAGCATGGGTGGGACCAAATTATAGTGTTCAACCTCCTCCTGGACAGAACGGAACTCTGATCACAAACCAAACAGGCTATCGTATGGCTGGATACCAAACGCAATGAGAGGAAGGACTCCCCAACACACATACACCAGCTGTCTGTTGCTGGCCCATTTGTTTACTTTGATACCATTCTATAATCATGTCCGTGCAGATGTCAGATACAGTATATTTATTAAAATACAACAAAAAAAGTAACCATTTTTTTAATCATGACCTGTTCACCAACTTGGTTAAAAACAAACTACAAAAATAACTAGAGATGCTGGATGTTTGCCAATTTTTGCCTTCCTTTTTTTTTGTTTCATTTTAATTTTTTATATTATATGTAACTGTTACTTAACCATGTCTCTCTTGAAGAGGGCAGCCAAGCCTTGTCAGATCATCTTTGGCAGAAAAAGGGTTAAGTTCATTTGAAATAATAAAAAACAATGCAGGGATCACTGCCATTTTGGGCAGAAAATTGCACAAAAATGTCTATTCTTTTTTTTTTTCTTTTTTTTTTTTTTCCTTTTCTTTCACTGAAGTAGCGTGCAGTTTTAGATTGCATTCCTAGTATGAATTGAGATGTATTATAAAGTTTAATTGTACAATATTTGTGAAGTTGTGTTTGTGAAGGTTAGTTTTGTTTCCTTCCTTGAAACCTTCAATGTGGAAAATAATTTTCCTATTCAGATTGTACGCACTGTTTAAAATTCTTTATGGCCCATTTTGTTGGTTTACATAAATTTTGTATCTAGACCATTTTAATTTTTTTTTCGCCTTAAATTTGACCTTTGGAGAGCTGAAGACGATCACTGTCGGCTCCCCCTTCAGTGAACAAAGGGTTGAAGTTTTTCATCATATAAACTAATGTGACATGATCTGAGCCTGTACACGGGAACCTGTCTGGTTTTTTTTTTTTTTCCTCTCCTATGAGAAGGTGCCTAGGAAAAAAAGAATCCCCACTGGATTTGTTTCTCAAGGATTTTTATCTTCTGTGATCAAAACAGTAATGTGGAAACAGGAATGAAAACTGCTATATTCCTGTGTAACTAAATGATTTCAAAATGTGATAAATTCTTAATGAACTAGCCTGATGTGTTTTTGTTTCTGGTTTAAACAGCTGCAAAAATGTGCAAAGCATGCTCAATATTAAGAATTAAAGGGACTGACCATGTGCACTAACATCAGACTGAGCTGAATGTCACGATAGGCCAAGAAATGCAAAGCAGTGGGGGGGGGGGGGGGGGGGGGTAGAGCTGACCAACCAGGGCCCTGTTAGCATTGGAACTGATCCATGGATTTCTTATATTAGTGGTTTTCAAGAGGGCTCCTGTGAGCAAATACAAATTTAAAACTGCTCAGTATCATTCATTTTGGTTTTAAAAAGAATCTAATAAACTCAAATGACATCATAAATTTAGGCCAAAATGTAATCTGCATGTCTTGGGTTAAAAAAAATAAAATAATCCCTGTAAGTGTATATTGATTTATGTGGAAGTTATAGTGTCTACAAACTATGGGATATATACTGGAATATACGCATTTACTTTCTGGCTGGCTATCACATTTTTAGAGGTGTTAAAATGCCAGGGCAGTACAAAAACACCAAAATAACCCCTTTTATATTAAGTAGACGCCCCAAGGAATTTGCTGAGAGGAATGTTGAGCCCATGGAAGATTTTATTTTTTGTTGCAAGTTTTTTTAAAAAATGACTTTTTTTCTTTTTGCACAAAATAGTCACTTTAATAAGATATTTCTGACACACGCCATGGATATATGTGGAATTACACCCCAAAATACGTTCTCCAACTTCTGATGGCTTAGCTGCGTACAGGGACCAAAAACACAATGACCACATTGAGGCTTTCAAAGGGCGTAATTTCCTCATTTCCTTCCTTCACTACCCCCATTTTGGAAAGTAGACAGCCCAAGCTATTTGCTGAGAGGCATGTTGAGTTCATGGTAGAGTTTATTTTTTGACACAAGTTTTTGGAAAATGCAGGCATCATCCCACTATAACTACTCAAAGTCTGGCGATGTACCGCTACAGTGCTGGTTCTTGTTGGGCATGCATGTAATGTGCTTTTTTTTTTTTATTCAGCCCGTGGGTTGCAAAAAAAACCCAAAAAACAGAGATTCCTCTATTTAACATTGTTAATGTAGATGAATAAAAAAAAAAAAGGTATATTTAACTGCGGATGAGAAAACTGCATGCATGCACTGACGTATGTATTCTGAAAGCACACCCTGTTACTTTCAGAATAAACAGATCAGTGCTGTAGTCGATTGGCATTCGTTAACAATAAAACACAGTGGGTGCCATTTGCAATGCAGTATCTTACCACATCTGAGCATGCTGTAAGATACTGCACATTGTTTTTCAAAAAGTATTTTCAGTTCACCAAAAAATGCTACTAAAATACCACATGAGATTATTTATGAAGTCATGTGGTATCTTAGTAGTGAAAACGTGGTAATTTTACCCTGGCAGTAGCTGGTGTATTTATTAACAGTAGTACATACAGCGTTGTTGGGAAGTGGATGGCTGCAAGCGTCCTTAACCAATAGCTGTCATGGTGTTTAAGGAGTGGATGGCCACCACATCCTTAACTGATGAGTCATCAGCTGTCGGGGGTTCCAGCAATTAAAATATACGGAAAAAACAGCGTAGGGATACCCCCAAAATCCATACCAGACCCTTATCCGAGCATGAAATGCACAGGAATGGGGAGGCATGAGCGTGCTGTACCCTATACAAATACTCCACTAGTGTGTGATAGCAACAGCAGCAGCAGTGTTTCAGGCAGAGACCAGGTCGCTAGGGCAGGAGGGACAAAAAAAAGGGTCTTGCATCTGATTCTGTCTGCTATAGCCACTACATCTTTATTGGGGTGACTTTTTAGTTGAGGCTCCAGGAATGGCATCAGGATAATGCCTTTCATGCAGCCGGCTTCTTGCATCTGGATTGGAGGTTTGGGCCACAGCACCTCCTCTGCATACAAAAAGGCTGTGATAGCTTTCTGAAATTTTAGTAAGGATCCACTTCTTCCAGTTGCTTTAAAGCACAAAATTGTTGTACAGAGCCAATTGAAATGGATATACAAACACTGTTTCTGTACCAGCATCTGGCTTTATTGGAAACTAAATACGGCTTCATCTGATCATTGAAGTCCACCCCTCCCAAAGGATATAGTAGTGGACTTCTCAACAACACCAGTGGCCCTGCAAATTTGGACTGTCATGTCTATGTGAATGGAATACAGGATGAAAACATCCTGTTTGTCCTTCCACTGCACTGTGAGTAATTCACCAATCCACAAGCAGGCTTTCTCTCCCTTTCAAAATTGGGTGTTTACAAGCCGTGAGGGAGAAGCCTAGGCAATTAGGTCGCATGGTGCCACATGAGTCATTCACACTTGCATAGTAATTATCCAGGTACAAGTGGTACCCCTTACAGAACAAGGGTGACACCAAGTCCCATACTATCTTTCCATGCTCCCCATGTCGTCTGGGCATCTGGGGGTCTCCACATGACTATTTTATCCCTCAAATCCTAAAAGAACATGTATAGTCTATCACCTTCTCACAGAGCTTATACATGTTGACCGCAGATATGGTACGCTTGCTGGGGAGATACTGCTTGAATGCAAGGTCGCCAGAGAAACTGAGGGGCTCATTACACAGATGTTTTGTTGGGGCGTATACACATTTGCGAATTTCTTGGAAAGGTGATTTATGAGGTGACAAATTTTGTGGAGCTGATAAAATCCAGGGTCACCCCCAAGGACATCAGAGTGTACTGTTGATGAAATGCATAAATCACTTTATATTCTCATATCTACCCCTAGCCATGGCAGCAGAGGACATGGGCATATGATGAATTGGGTCTGTAAACCAATATGTCTGCAATTAATTATTTTTTTGTAATACCCATGATAAGGGTTAGGCTCAAAAAAAAATTTTAAACTTGGGAACTGTGATAAGTTTCCATGCAAATTGGCAAGGTTTGAATTTGGATAGGTGGTGATGTACTGCTTGGCATATATATTGCTTTGGTCAACAATCGATACAGATCTTCCATGAAAATCAGCTAAAAAAAAATTAAATTTGCAGTTTCCACCTGAATTTTGAGTTGGGTAATGAATGGAGGAAGTACAAGTGCTGTTGAATCTGTAGGCTGCCAGTCAGGATTTCCAAGCACATCCAGAAGGACACTATGGGCCTGTACTAGCTTGTACTGCACTTATGGGACCCACCCTGTCACCAAGTGATACTGCAGTGCTGGTATGTATAAAGCCAGGATGTACTAGCTAGGCCACTGGTGCTTACCAGCTCACCAAAAGATAGTGTGGCACTAGTACTGGCACTCTGCTGCATATGAGAATTGTGCAATTCTAGCACCTCAGCAACATGGGCACGGGGTTGGGTACTCCTGACCTTAGCAGGAAACTTCTCTATCGTCTGAGCTACCTGTTTGGGTGTTGCTGCTTTCTACTCTTAGGGCCTGTAGCAAAAAAAAAAAAAAACAGGCTTGATGGTTGTGGGAAGGGTTATCCTGTGCTGGCCAACAGATTTTTTTTTTTTTTGCCAATATCCATTTTTTGTGGTATTACCCAACTGTTGTAAAGTAGAACTATAGGCAAACCCCTTTTCTTTTAATTTAGGATAGAGCAAGGAATAGTTAGAACCCCTATCAGATTATGTTTTTTTCACCATCTGTGTCCCATGGCAGAGATTTCCCTACACTTTCTGTCCCATAGCCAAACAGGAAGTCAGATGAAATCCCTGCAAATTAAGGGAATTCCTGGGGACCCCAAGTCATCAAAACTAGTGTGCCCATTGGAATATTGTACCTCTAATACTTTTCTGGGGACAACCCAATATTTGGGATTTTCTTTTACTTTTGCTTTCAATGATAATGATAAACAGGACAAATAGGATAAATCTCCCTAACGGGGACACAGACTCCAATAAAAACTGACAAGCATTGTAACCCATCTGCACTCTATTGAAAAAAATATAAAAAAAGTTTTGAAAAAAAATAGAAAATTTCCTATCAAATACTTTACGTAATTTTC